TTACCCGAAATATCATTTGATATAACTAGGATATGAAATGAAAGAAAAGTTTATACTAGTTGCATATTTTTAATATTATAGTTGACAAAGTACTATATCTTTCTATATATAATTTCAGGACGCGTTGAGCTTAAGTGGTAGACTCTCATGTTTCGAAATTCTATTTGATAAAAAATTATGCTCCAGAGTTGGCTTGGATATAAATTAATATTTTTTTAATAAAAAATAGTTAGATTTGAATTTCATTTAATGTCTATATTATTCACACTAATTTGATGATTGATTTTTATAACTTTTTTATTTGTATTTTATTTTTCATATATGATATATCAAATTAACTATATTTTAACGATTTTCGAGTTAATCAAACATACTTAAAAAATTTATGTATTAAATTATTCGAACACGAACGAACTCGAACTTTGACGAACAATTAAACGAACGAACTTGAACATGATTTTTTGATCAAAAAATAAACAAACGAACACGAACACTGTTCGAACGTAAACGACACGAGCTCAAACAGCCCAAGCTCTCTTCTGTTCGGTTCGTTTACAGCACTAACTAACTAGCATAAGGTCAAATACATGAACTTCATTTAGGTAATGATAATCTTTTTCAATGCACAATTTGCTCTACTTTTTGAGAAAGAAGAAAAGAAAAAAAAAATACACACACAATTACATAATTACATATAGGTGACACGACGCGATTAAAAAACACAATTATATAAATAAATGATACAATAAGCAAGATTTTACCTGAAATATGAAGCAAATAATACAAAATAAAATTTTTATTTGAATGTTGAGCTTATTATCATATTTATAATAAAATAAATTAGATAGTTATAATTCGGAAGACTTTAGAAAAAAGGACTTGTAAGTTGTAACTGATTGCCAATTATGAAAGTATGGATAGTTACGTGTAAATATCCGGAAAAATATCAAATAAATCAAAGTCATAAAATCTTAATAATAAAAAATTGTTAATTAATCGAAATTATATCCACCTCAAGTGGTGCCCGTACCTTTCGAGGTAGTATGTGAGGGCAAATGGCCATTTGTTAGTGACATTTTCATAAAGCGCTATCACTCGATAAATATGATAATTTAGATATGCACCAAGTATAAAATCCAAAATAAATAAATTAAGCTGGAAAGGATAATAAAAAAAGGTCTTCAAAATTTAATTTCTTATTTCTTATAACTATATTAAGAAGAACCAATATTAATATAGCATATTATAGAGAAATTAAGATTTATATTTTTGAGTGTGTTATCTGACGATTAAAATTTCATGAAATAATGCAACGTATGATCGAATTTGCTCATGAATGGACTATTATTCTGGATTATGAATTAAGTAGGTTTAATATTTAATAAGTAACTCTATAAAATGCATATTGCAATTTCGATTGATTTCAATTGAATTATCAAATAATTTTACTAAATATATTTATTATAATTAAGTTTTCGCTATTCAACCATTCAACTTAAGTTTATCAATTATAAATTCAAAATTCACTAATATAATATTTAGTTAGCTTCCGTCTGTCATAATTAATTAGTTAATCATTTGGGCAGCTTTATTGTGATGTTTTAATGGGAATATATTTTGGGATTAGTGTTAATTAATTGGTATAACGACACAAAGTCTCTGTCTTTAAGCCTAGGTTTATGTGTTGATATTGTCTTCATGTTGGGTGGGTTCTACAAAAAGGTACTTTGACATTAGCAATTGAATATATTTTATATAAATTTGAATTATGTAATTAATAAATACATTATTGATTTAATTACTTCGATTTGGCAGACATTTGAGCACTGTTTATAAATTAATTCTGTGGGCACAATTGAATAAAATCCTTCAAGAGTCTAATGTTAATCTGTTTAATTTATATGTAGAGTCAATAATCATGCTGATAAAAGGGCTTTATATATTCTAAACAAAGATTGTGTCTCACTTTTTTTTTTATTTTTTTTTGGTACAAGAAAGTTTTATCATGAAAAGAAGTGAATTGAAGGCGTTGCATATATTAACGTTCAGAATGTTTGGATTTGTAAGATTTTGAAAAACAAAATTAATTATAAAATACCTAAGCCAGTTAGACAGTTGAGGTGAATTAATATTTCGAAATGTCATTATGTTAACGTGTTAAATTACAACATAAATAAAATTATAATATTCCATAGTATAAATACATTTTTTTTTTCTTTCATAAAATACAATTTTTATTGACTACTTATGAAAATTACACCTATTAAATTAAGCAACAAAACGAATTATTGAAACGAATTCAAATGGAAGAAAAAATTATATTGATAAATGAATTCCGTTTTAACGACTATTACTCAGCAAATTTTGCTCTATAATTTGATTTGATTTGTAGTCCCAACTTCACTCTCATTTTCTTGTTCAAGCTTTTTATTTTGCTCTATGTTGTGTTGTACTTACCAAGCAAAACAATATTTTAACCAAAAATAAAAAATATAAAAGAATCATAATTGATCTTATAAATATTAGCTTCTAATTTTATTTGCAACAAAATACATGTCAAAGGGTATAGTAACTTATTAAAATTTTGTAAATGCTATAATTTATTATTAGTTTCTGATGGAAAGGAAGAGAAGCTTCAGCTTGACATTTGTGTTTATATTATTGTGTTTATATTATTTCAGGCGAGATAAATTAATTAGGTATAGTTATCCATCTATTTTATATACTATAATTATAATAAAAACATATATAATTAGGGCCAACAGTATAAATTAAACTGCGGCCAAATGTTGGACAGAATTATAAGTTAGACCCAACATAAGGCTTGTCCAAAGGCAGACAAACAATTGTAAATACACTATAATTCAAATCTAAATTGCAATACTTTTCAAACNAAACACGTCAAACCATGTTACATAATAAATTATTAAGCCCCTTTTCTATGCCTTCCTACAATTACCATCTATTATTTTCCTACTAATTATAACTTATTTAACAATATTATTGTTATTAGACTGTCTAATAGTTAAAAAGTTATATTGTTTTCAACATACTAACATTGTTTCGTATTCAAATATCGTAGTCTAAAATATAAATTAATTAAAACTAACTGTATTTTGTGGTTGGGTGCTAAATGGGTAATGGACCACTAGCTAAAACCCTTTCAATTTTCCTTGTCAATTTTCAAGATTTCATAAGATTTATACATCCCCACACAAAATTGACTTATAATTGATTTATTCAAGTAAACTCATAGCCATCATGTCTCGAATTTTCGTGGCTCTATTTTGATATTTTGATAGAGATAAGATAACCAACAAATATGGTGGTCATTTTCCCTTCACATTGATCATATAATATTTTTACTACGATTTTTTTCCATTAAATGCAAGATTTATATTGTTCATTAACTATAGAAAATTACCAAGTTGAAAATCATTGAATTCAAAACAAACAATATGTTTTTTAAAACATAATTGTTGTTAAGGCTCCTAACAGTTAGACATTTATACTTTTTAATATATTTGTTTGTAGAAATATGTATTTTTGTTATAAAAATATGATGGATCGATCGTCTAACGATTATGTCGTTTGATATAAGAATTTGTGTTTTTCGAAGTACACATCTATGTTTGAGTGGAAAAAGAAAATATGAATTATTTTCCTAAATTTTCTTTTGACATCGAACAATTGACTTATTATTTAATTATTTTAATCCAAATATGAAATGAATATCAGGATAAACGACAGGATCCCATCATAGGAGACAATCTCAGAGTATTTCTTTTAGTAGGCTTTTATTATTCAGCATATTTCATAACTGTTATATAGCACCACAAAATTATTTATTCTTTTTAAGAGCCATAATTTCTACAACCACCCGCCTAACATTATAGTAGCATGATGGTGTCCAAAGTGTGCTCATTGGAAAATATTGAATTATAAAGTCTAAAGAAAAAGGATAGTCAAATTTACATTTGAGTTGTCTCCCTTATACAGTCGACTCTAAAAAATATTAGAATTTTAAGGGTTTTATCTTTTATAAATACAAAAGGTTTATCTCTATTCTTTGCTAGTTGATAATCTATACATTATCAAGCTTGAACTAATGTGAAATTGGAAATGGATTTGAACTTTCCATCCCAATCCTTTTTTTTTTCTCATATATATTTTTAATATACAATAATAATGAATTCTTATGTTGCAGGTAATAGTGAAATAATGATTGATAGTTATAAGTAGTGAATTGATAAATATTATAAAATAATGATTGATAGTTATAAACAGTGAGTTGATAAATAACAAATTTTATAAAGAAACGTGCTAAAAATATTGATCTCCAGTTTAAAAATTGTATTGAAACAAAATGAGTGAAAGAAATAGAAAAAAAAAAGAAAGTAAAGTATATGAACGGAATGAAATTGAATTTGATTTCCAATTACAAATTTAAAAAGTGATGGGCCTTGGCTTTCATATTAGCTTATTATATAAAAGTAGTTCTAATTGCTAAGCCCACAGGCAAAATTTAAAACCCATCTAAGCCCAACTTCAATAGAGGGCCACCATGAAGTCAATAGTGATTAAAGCCATCTGAGCCCAATTTCAATAGATGGGTCACCATGGAGTTAATGGTGTGAGGTCGAGTGACCTTTTTCTTTCATATTGGAAGTTTTTTTCATGGTTTTTCATGTTGTGACTAAGCCTGTACACGAGCCACCAAGCTCAAACTCGACTCGTTTACCACTAATAACGAGTCTAGTTCGAACTGATCTCGAGCTTTAACAAATCAAATTATAAAAAATTATATAAAATTTTTCTTTCCGAGCCTTATCGAGCTGAGCCGATATATACTTGCAAGTTAAATTACTATTTGCACTTAACTATCAAAATCAAATCAGCAAATCTTGTTAACGTATCTTTTTTATTGAATTAGATTCGAAATAATAGCGAACGTCAGCAAGTCGAATTTCGAATCGACATTGTCAAATTATCCAAAATCCGCTCGGCTAACCCTTAAACGAGAAAGGTTTAAGATATTCCGAATCCCCCAAACATGTGCAAGTTTTTTTGTATATTTTGCAACAACTACACAAACACATGAATGCACAAACAACGTGTATACATGGCATTGATTCAAAGTCTCACAAAGATGCAAATTCCATAAACAAGGATGAATAACAAAACCGGTTTCCAGGTCTAACGCACAACCATAAATTACAGAGATAAAAAACTCACCCTGACATTTTTTTTTTTTACTTTTTAGTAGTCTTCTTTTTACCGGGAATTGCAACTCGCTTGCCCTTCAAAGTTCTGCAGTTATTCCTAGTCCTCTGCCCACGACAAGGCAATCCCTGAATGTGCCGAATTCCTCTGTAGCACTGTATATCCTTCAGCCTTTTGATTGCCATCGCATTAAATCTCCTCTAACAAAGATTTCACCAAAAAACAACAACAACAACAACAACAACAACAAAATCAGTTATGATTAGTTAGATGTCTCTTACATCCAGTTTAGATGACAGTGTCGGAAATGAAAACCAAGAAATAAAAAAACAGAAGCATACACTTGAATGCAAACGTTATTACTATATAAAAACAAACCCTAGAGGTTTAGCCTAATCACATATAAGTCCAGATGTGTTCTAAAGCTACAAAATACCCCTCAAATCTGTTGTAAGCAACACATTGAAATAATAATTAACCTCCAGCAAATGCATATTTGTTGTCAACTTTCAACTTTCGAGCTGCAAACGAGAAGCAAATTCCTATGTTCCTTATGTAACTTTGAAAAGATAACAGAGTATTCATGACGAGGCTGTTCTTTAATCTTATAGACGTTTGTTTTATTTATTTATTTATTTTTTTCGGTAAAGTGTAACAAAATACATCAGATGAAAGAACATTGTCACTTCACAAGCCGAATCTAGTCTCGTACACACTTTAGTTAACTACTTAGAAATATCAACAAACGAATAAATACACTTGCATAATCAACTTAAAGCAACCCTAATTTACTTCATTTTTCTTAAGTACATTTCATCAGAATTAACGCCGAAACACGCCACACACAGAGCCCAGAAAAATCGCAAGAACAAGATATAATTTTTCAGCTATTAACGCTTTTTTTTTTTCTTTCTTCCAAACACATTCATCAAAATTAACAACAGAAAACACACACACACACACAGAGGCCAAAAAAATCGCAAGAACAGGATTCAATTTTTCAGCCATTAATGCCCTTTTTTTTTCTTTCTTTCTGTCATTTAAACACGTTCATCAAAATTAACACCAAAACACACACCCACCCACACACACAGAGCCCAGAAAAATCGCAAGAACCAGATTCAATTTTTCGTCCATTAATGGCGTATCCAAGCGGAAATAGGAATTCACACAAAGCACTTACGAGATCTCCCTCAATCATGTACTTCGAAACCTCCCCACGCAGAATGGTGAGCTCCTCCTCGGATAAATCATTGGTCAGCTTGTTATCGAAGTTCAAATCGTTGAGTATCTGCCTAGCCCTAGTCCGCCCAATCCCATGGATGTACTGCAAAGAGTACTCCACCCTCTTGTTGTTTGGTATCTCAACCCCACCAACACGAGCGCATCTTATACTCAGCCCACCGACCTAAAATATTCCACCCAAAAAAAAGGAAATCAAATTAGGGATTTCTCATGCGAAACACTACAAGAAACGAACGAGCGATCGAATTTTTGTCTAACCTTGGGGCGAGGGGTGTCCCGGCGAAAGGAGAGAGAGGTTTTGGGGGTTTTGGCGATGGGGTTGGAGATGAGAGAGAGTGAGGGAAGCAGCGGTGTAGCTAAGGATTGCGCCATTGTTGAATTGAAGCAGAAAGGTGTGAGCCTGTGAGGAGAAGCTGTTCTTATCCGTTCGTGAGCTGAAAGGTGGGGGAAAATGGTTGGGCCGGGTCTAGTATTTGGGCTATTGAACAAGCCGGTTTGGGCCATTTTTCCACCCGAAAAAGTTACAAATATTGGCCGGAGTTTTTTTTTATTATTATTATTATTATTTCTTTTGTGTGTGTGTGTATTTTTTTTTTCTTGCACTCT